TATATATATATATATATATATATATATATATATAGATAGATATAGATATAGATATACCGTAATTCCCCATCTATAATACGCCTTCATCCATAATACGCACCCATAAAATTGTGCTAGAAATATGAGACAATGCTTCTACTCACGCATAAGACGCACTCTTTTGTTTGGTAATAAAACCCTATAAATTGTATATCATCAATTTCATTAAAATGTTTTTAAACAGAATAATATTATTCTAATTTAGTTTTAAGATAATTCCTATTTTATTTTACATTTGTAAGTATTTTTAGCTACATGTGATTACTTGATATCATTCTGGGATCTCAATCCCCGAATGTTAGTGTCAAATTGTATGTTTGTGGTGAATAGTCATTTCACAACTGAAATCGACCTATGTAACGGCAATTTTCAAAAGATATTTTGTAGCTGGGCATAATACGCACCCCTAATTTTTATTTTATTTTTCAGAAAAAAAAATGCTTATTATTCATGGGGAATGACGGTATATAAAATAATGAATTTGTTGGTATTGATTATAAAAATGTATCTCTTTAAATTTTGCACTGCATTCATAGATTAAAAAATATATTGTTTAGAGGTGAATAAATAATTAAAGAAAATTCATACTATTCTTCAAATTTTAGTTGAATAATTTGATAGTGTAAACTTTTACATAAGAAGGCAATGCTGAATATCTATTGAATAGTCACGCAAATTTGAGTAAATGAACAGACTTTATTGTGAAACACCGTTTCCCTATGTTTCCCATGAAAGCGCACAGACACATGTACATCGAGAGATAGAAAGAAAGATACAGAGACAGAGAGAGATAGTGAGGTAAACAATATTGGAGCTACAGAATCCTTTCTTTTCAGTCATAACATATCATCTACGCATCCTTGTGGGTGATGGATTACGTTCAACTTTACATCCGCTTTCCCACAGATGCAACGTTGCAAGCTGATTGTTACCCTATTGCTATTTTCATGGGAAATGCTCTGCCAAGTTACATTATTTCTACCAGTTCAGGCATTTACAACCAAAACCCTCTCTGACACAGTGGGCAACTAACCGTATTACCTTCGTATTCCTTTAGTAAGAAAAGATTCCATTCCGAAATCTTCTTGGCTAGAAACGCAACTTTTGAAACAGACCCCACCAAGGATAAGCTTCCCCGACAAGAACAAACCTAACCTCTTCAAGTCAACCATAATATATCTTACATATCATCATAAGATAAAATTATTACACCGACAAAGCAAATCCATTCATCAAACCTTGTGTTACTCTTTTGCAATTTATTGGGGAAACATTAGTGTGAAATATACAAAGAGGGGGAAATTTGAAGGCCAAGTCAATATATTTTTGAGGCCTCAATGTAAAAAAAAAAAAAAAAATGTGAGGATTATTGTTTTCTTTTTTGCCTGATGTCGAAATATTTCGGTATGAAAGAGTGTTGTGGCATGAAATATATTTTCTCTTAAGAATAATATTGTAAAGAAAGAAAGGAAAAAAAAAAGATATGAAAGAAAGTTGGAAATGAAAAATGAAAGATAGAAAAAAAAAAACGACAAATTTATGACATCCTTTGCGTTAAAGAATATATAAAATATGAAGAACGAGAAGGAGATGGAAAGATAAAAACGAAACAAGTATCAAGAAAGAAAAAGCCAAAAAAAGGAAAGAAATCGAAAAACAAGCCAAAAAAATATTCGATAAAAAACAAAAAAATTCAAAAACCCTTCACAACATTAAAAATATAAACAATACAAAAAGCTCTCCGAACAGCAAAGAGGGTGGAAAAGTGTCACTTTAAGGTGAGACTTTTCCCGTTTAGCAATATCTTATGTCGCTTACAAGGCTTTATTCTTTTCATTATCATCTTCTTTTCTAATCGTTACCCATTATCTGTATTTTACCATGATACTTGCCCCGGGGATATTAAACACGCACTGACCACTACTCAATAATTTTCTGTCTCACTAGGCAGATACACACACACTGGTGAATGTCACTCACGCATACATATGTTCAAGAAAGATATTCACTGCATTTATATGCAGTGTTTAGTAGCATTCATATACGCAAATTTTGTTAATCGGATAGATGTGCAAATTAATAAAATAAATCACAACAAAACGCAGTGCATTCAGAAAGAAAAGGAAGTAATATTAGTTTATAAATGACACATTATTTAAATGACACATTATTTAAATGACACATTATTTAAATGACACATTATTTCAATGATTGAAACGTCCCTGCGAAGAAGCATTTACTTATGATCCTACAATTATTATAAATTTAAATACAATTATAATTATCGAGCAATCATCACACATGCAGAGACAAACGTAAGACCCGGAATGAGCATGTAATTTCCAACGAGGCAGCTATTTTGTGAAGTAGACTCGCTGAACACTACAGTCTTGAACTTTTCAAGTAAAACTCTAATAGTTATCTATCTTCCCTACCCTAATAATTAATTTAACAATAGTTACCTATCTTCCCTACCCTAATAATTGATTTAATAATAATTATCTAACTTCCCTACCCTAATATATAATTTAATAAAAGTTATCTATCTTCATTACCCTAATAATTTTTACTTTCAAAAACATTCACTTTTCCTCATATCCCTTCCCATTTATTATATCCATTTTAACAGTAGCATTCTATCTGAGTGGCTCTTGAGCCTTGTTTCGTTGATTTTTATTATATAACACGCAAATACGCACACATAGATATGGGACTGAATATAATACTAATTATTTAACTGATAAAATGGCGTTTTCTTTTTATTGATAATGCTTCCATTATTTTTAGACATTTTTACATGTGGATGAGGCTATTGGGTTTGCATGATCAACGGCTATGTTGCAGATGGAGTTTCGTAGGTCTCCATGTGTATTTAAATGAGACTTGAGCTATCTATACAATTTCAAAATTTAATTTCAGTAAATGGAGTACATATTTTCCAGTGACGTATTTAATTTTCCTTTTTGCATTTACCAACATTAGACTGATATTATCTAATATTCGTTCAATGGATTAGACGTGTAATCATTAGATGCGTTCTGGAATCATAATGTATGATGTTCATAATATCGGAGAGACCTATACAAATGTATAAGGATGGATATTTATGATTCAGAGACTACGAGATAGACAAGAGATCTATTTTCATTTCGAGAAAAAAACTATAATTATTTACGCAAGATATTGGAGTAATTCATTATATATACATCGGGGGTAATCCGCCTGCATACGGATAGAAAACGAAATGAAAATTTAAAAAAAAATAGACAAGGTGTGTAAGACAAAGATGCTTCTATTCAGCGGACATGTTTCATCCAATACTATAAGTTTTACCAAGCTTGCTTAATGGTAGGCACAATCATAGCAACATAGGAAACGCAGATGTTACCTGCAGAAACTCTTCGGTAAGGTAATAAGGGAAAGCGGGAAGAAAGGACTAAACATCACTTGTAAGAAAATTATTTTATTGTTGTGAAGAAGAATAGCCCAAGGTATGTCCTACAAAGTGGAGATGTGAAAATCAAGCATTTACACAAATTTAAGTATTTGGGGAAGTGTTTTAACAAAAGGCGGAAAATGTGACAGGGAAATTTGAAGGTGCCATGTAATAGCAAAATATAACTTCTAAAAATTAGTAAAATATTAAAAAACAGGAAGATTTCGTTAGAAAATAATGTCGAAGCGCTATCAGTTTCACTATAAGGCAGTCAATCCTGTAAAATTTTCGAGCAGATGAAGAGGCAACTGAGATATATTTCTAGAAAAGAATTCGGAAAATGCCGCTGAGGGAATATAAATCAGGGACGAATTCAGGAAAATGAAAAAAAATATAGGACATTGAAGTTAAAAATCATAAAGTCTTTTTAACGATTTGGCAAGGCGCTTAGCATTGCAGTGGAAAAAGTCAGCCCAAAATGTTGATTACTATATCAAAACCATATATATATACGCATATACATATTCATATATGTACATATATATGCATATACACACACACACACTCGCACACACACACACACAAACACACTTATATATATATATATATATATATATATATATATATATATATATATATATATATACAGGATGATTGAAAAAGTAACTCCTTATTTTATGTATGATACACTCTCCATCTTGTAAGAATTATAGTTAAAAGGAATGTCCTTCATTCATAAAATAGGGAGTTCTAATCACCATATATATATATATATATATATATATATATATATATATATATATATATATATATACCCTCTCTCTCTACATATAACTAGTTTGAACTTCTGGTTTGTAGATAGTATTCAAGCAAGAAACAGACTCTCGTAATTCAGTGTTGAACTACTTCCCACAATTTATAATTACATAAACTCAGTCACGGGTTTGTGCATGTCTACTTTATCAATATAACATAAATGGCATCATGCATACATATATACATACATACATATATACATACATACATACATATATATATATATATATATATATATATATATATATATATATATATATATATATATATGTGTGTGTATATATATATATATATATATATATATTCTGTGTGTGTGTGTATTTAGGCATCAATTTTCCATTGATGCATGCTTCATTAAATAATATAGACAAGTTTTGTTTTGTTTAATATATTGAAATGTAATGGTCACTTTTGATAATGGCTTATGTAAGCCGAAAGCCTAGATAGGATAAAAAAACATTCATTTGGACTTTCGATGGTAAAGGACGGTAGATGTAAATTAAAAAAAGAAACATTAAAAAAAGAAAAAAGTCCATGGTCATCTAGTAAAACACTTGTACCTACTAAAATGACGCACAAGCCCGCGCGCGGACACACATACACACACATATACACTCATATATATATATATATATATATATATATATATATATATATATATATATTCTTATGTGTATTAAAAGCATTCGCTTATCTTTCAATATTTCAGTATTACTGCAAAAGCGTGCGTGCAAAATGTGGCGTGTCTCCGTGTCTGCGTGCCCATCAACAGCGAACGATCATCCCATTTGTTCCCTACCCGTATTTGTTTGATCTACCCCTTGGCCTGACCAACCTTCACCTCAAGCCTAATCCAGACCCACTTTTTCTCCTACATATTCCTTTCACTTTTTTTCTTTTTGTCTTTTCCTTTTCTCATTCTCCTACCACACGCCCATCCTTTTTTTTTCCTGTGATGTCCATCTCTAACGATTCCTCATCCCACCGAGCAGACTCCGTCCGTCCGGCTGCCCAAACATCTCCAAACCCCAAACCTCAGCCCCTCCTTTTCTCAACCCACCCTACACCCATCCTTATTTTCTTGGTGTCTCTCCCCCCCCCCCAAAATCCACCAGATCTAGACTGCACCCTCGTCACATTTACCTTCTTGGTCATACGTTACGTACCTTACCCTCCTAAACTGCGCCCCACCCCCCTTACATTAAAAGTCTCCCCCAACTTCCTCCCATATCCACTTCCTTCGCCTCGTCATTTGCGTCGCCCTTCTCCTCCTTTGGTTTATGGTTCAAACCTTCTTCGTCCCTGGACTTTCAGACATGATTATTTTTTTTCTTTTCCCACTAATATCCACCAGACTTGACTTGCTGGCCACGCGACAACTTTCATCTTATCACTCTGACAACGGTTTCCCACTCGCCATAGTTTTCTTTTTTTTGTGCGTCTTTTTTTTTTTTTTTTTTGTTCACACACTCATTTCCTTTCATCTCTATATGTTTTGCTTTCTTAAACTCTGAAAAAGAAAGAGTGGATTTTAAAGTATATTTTTTCTTCTCTATCGTTCTACGACATTGTTTTATTTACTTCCATTTTTTTTTTCGTTACTTTTCTTTCTAAATTTGCTTTCTCTTCCTCTTCGACGTTCCGCCATTTCCATATTTTTACCCTCACGTTCTTTTACAGTTGTTCTATATTTTGCATCCTAAATATCTTCTTCTTCTTCATCTTCTTCTTCTTCTTCTCCTTCTTCCACCTCTCTTATTCTTTTCTTCGTAGTAGTATTAGTAATAATTAATAGTAGTAATTATACCTAGTCTTTCTTTTTTCTATCTCCCTCTCTTCCTTCTCCTCCCAGTTCTGTCATGCCATCCAATTTTTTTTTTCTCTCGTTCTATTTTTGTCCTTCATTTTACGTCGTCTTCATATCATTGTCCAACTCGTCTCCATTTTGCACCATTATCTTCTCATTATCATCACCCACTTTCTCTCCTTCAGCCAAGATTTATGCCCGCTCTTTCTTCTTCTTCTTCTTCTTCTTCTTCTATTCCTTCATTTCTTCATATGCCTCTTCGCCCCACCCGTTTTATTTATTCCTTTTTCATTCTAATTTTCTCAACCTTAACGACTTCTCTTGACTTCTTCACTTTCATGGCCTCCGTAAAACTTATCTCTCCTTTTATGCTTCTTTATTTATGTCTACTCTGCTCGATACTCCTTTTAACTCTTTTCTCTTACTCCTGTTAACCACTTAAAATATTCAAAAAATACTTATTCCGTTCTCTTCTACTAAACCTTTCATTATTTCACTATCGTTTCTCTTTATCACCTTATTGATCCTTATTTCTTTTTATGTCTATTTGGTTTTGTTTTATTTATTTCGGTGTTTTTACATACTTTTTATTCCTTTTCTTTAAACTGTATAGACGTTTAACTCAAATCTTAATTTAAACTATTTTATTTTAATTCAGTATTTTATTTTTTCAATGATTTTTCTTTCTCTTTCTCTTATTTCTTCGATTTGTTATATATTTTATTTTCCCTACCGTTCATGATAATTTGGGATTCTATATCTTTTACATCTTTTAGTTTCTTTTCTTTTTAGCTATTTTTCACTTGTTTTCTTTCTTTCTTAAATTTACTTTATTTTTAAATCTTTTTTTTTTCTCTCGTTTTTGCTTTCCTTGTGCTTTTGTTTTCTATTAATGGTTACATCCTTTTTCTTTCACTTTGTATATCTTATGCTTTTTTATGTGTTTTAATTTGGATCATTTGACCTTCATTTTTGCTTTTTCTTTCTTCATTTCATTCATTCATTCTGACTTTCTTTCTTTCCTTCTTTCTTTTATTTTCATAATCGTTCCTTGATTCTTTCTTGATGTATTTATGTATTTATTTATTTATTTAATTTCCCATTGATTTCTTTTCTTTTCTTTTCAATAATATTTCTTGATTTCTTTCTTTCATTTTAATATTCATTACATCCATTCATCTTTCTTTTTTCTTTCTTTTCTTTCTTTCTTTCTTTCTTTCTTTCTTTCTTTCTTTCTTTCTTTCTTTCTGTCTTTTTATTTCTTTCTCTTTTTCTTTTTCTTTCTTTCTCTACCACCTTTCTCTTTCTTTTCAATATTCTTTCTTTCTTACTTTTCTGTATTCTTTCGCTCACTCTTTTTTGTTTCCTTTCTTTCTAAGTTTCATACATTTCACCGACAGGCTTTTTTTTTCAAAATTCCTTATTTGTTGCTTGCATATTTATTTGTTTGTTCCTTTACTTCTTTTTTCTTTCTTTTTCCTTAGTTTATTTCTTTCTTTTTCTCTCTCATCTTTCTTTCTTTTTCTCTCTCATCTTTCTTTTTTTCTTTTCATTATTCTTTCATTATTTTCAGTATTTATTCTTAATTTCAACTCTTCCTTCTTTTTATCATTATTTATCTTATCGGGTAACTTAACTTCTCACATCTTATTTTGGTTAAAAAAAATCTTTGAATTTCTATTTTTCACCAAACCTAATTCGTTCATGATCAAGTTTGTCGATTCGTTCTTCATCCTTTCCTTCTTCGACCTCATTTCACTGTTTGGTTCAGTTCGCTTATTCGTTTTCCAGACCCTCTCCATTTTCATTTTCCGTCAAAAGCTTTGCACCAGTCCCTCTCCGATAATCTTTTTTTTATGCATTAAGTCGGTGTAATCGGCCGCGGCGTCTTCAAAGACACAAGTGATTGCTTTGCTCACATCATTATCCCCACTCCGTCCTCTTACACTATTCTTTTGTCTACTCCTATTCCTCTTTTTCTCGCTATCATCATCATCATCATCATCATCATCATCATCATCATCATCATCATCATCATCATCATCACAATCATCATCATCATCATCATCACAATCATTCACATACTTTTTATACTACTCCAAATACCGAACTTTTCCTCATCCAATTATTTTCTTGACTAATATCATCATCATTATTAGATTTTGGTTTCATCAGTGATTTCTTCTTATTATTATTCTTCTTCTTTATCACCAGCTACTACTACGGCTACTACTACTACTACTACTACTTCTTCTTCTTCACCAGCTTCTTCTTTTTCACCAGCTTTTTCTTCTTCTTCTTCTTTACCAGCTTCTTCTTTTTCACCAGCTTTTTCTTCTTCTTCTTCTTCTTCTTTACCAGCTTCTTCTTTTTCACCAGCTTTTTCTTCTTCTTCTTCTTTTTCACCAGCTTTTTCTTCTTCTTCTTCTTCTTTACCAGCTTCTTCTTTTTCACCAGCTTTTTCTTCTTCTTCTTCTTCTTCTTTTTTTTACCAGCTTTTCTTCTTTTCTTCTTTTTCACCAGCTTTTTTCTTCTTCTTCTTCTTCTTTACCTTCTTTTTTTTTTTCTTCTTCTTCTTCTTTACCAGCTTCTTCTTTTCACCAGCTTTTTTCTTCTTCTTCTTCTTTACCAATATTTTCTTTTCACCAGCTTTTTTCTTCTTCTTCTTCTTCTTTTACCAGCTTCTTCTTTTTCACCAGCTTTTTTCTTCTTCTTCTTCTTTACCAGCTTCTTCTTTTCACCAGCTTTTCTTCTTCTTCTTCTTTACCAGCTTCTTCTTTTCACTTCTTCTTCTTCTTCTTTACCAGCTTCTTCTTTTTCACCAGCTTTTTCTTCTTCTTCTTCTTCTTTACCAGCTTCTTCTTTTTCACCAGCTTTTTCTTCTTCTTCTTCTTTACCAGCTTCTTCTTTTTCACCAGCTTTTTCTTCTTCTTCTTCTTTACCAGCTTCTTCTTTTTCACCAGCTTTTTCTTCTTCTTCTTCTTCTTTACCAGCTTCTTCTTTTTCGCCAGCTTTTTCTTCTTCTTCTTCTTCTTTACCAGCTTCTTTTTTCACCAGCTTTTTCTTCTTCTTCTTCTTCTTCTTCACCAGCTACTACTACTACTACTACTACTACTACTACTTCTTTACCAGCTTCTTCTTTTTCACCAGCTTCTTCTTCTTCTTCTTCTTCTTAGTGGTTCTCATTCTTCTATATATATGCATTGTTAACACATTTTATTCTTTTCATCATCTTCTTTCTTTGCTTCCTCATTGCTTTATAATTCCATTCCTTTATGAGAATTATTGTCATCTTCAATCTATCATTATTTTCATTTTACAAATCAACATATTTTGCACGTCAACATGTTCATCATCAAGCCAAGCCAAGCCAAATTATCTCCCATTCCATCGTCTCAGCTTTATTACCATTGTTGATATTATCTCTCTCTTTCTTTCTCTCTCTCTCTCTCACACTCTCTTTCTCTCTCTCACTCTCTTTCTTCATTGTCCTAAAACATCCAAATGTTCAAAGACATATTCCGGTCGCGACAATGTTGATCACTTCCTGTGTAAGCTTTTTGTAAATACAATTTATTGGTATATCTTATAGGCATAATCAAAGTAATTAACCTATCGCATATTCAATCAGTAATATTTACATGTATTAAATTTCCTTAAATCTTCTTTTCTTTCTTCCAAAATTACAATAATGTTCTATTAACGGTTTCTGGTCATTATGTATGTGTGCATTCTATGCATTATGATAAAAACTTATACAGGGTACGACAGGTAAATTGTCGCCATTTTATATTTTTAATTTCCCGCATGTGCATTGTTTGGCTTGGTGTGTTTTGTTTTGTTTTACGGCATATCAACCTCAATGGGTTGTTTCATACCGACAGGATTTTTATTGCTGGTAATATTTTTTTTCAAAAATATATTGCTGGCATAATTTTTTTCTCAAAAATGTATTGCTAGTATTTTTCCAAAAATGTGTTGCTGGTATTTTTTTTCTAAAATATATTGCTGGTAATATATTTTGTCCAAAAATATATAGCTGGTAATATTTTTATCCAAAGAAGTATTGCTGTTATTAAAAACTATTTTTATAGTTTCATAGTGTTTTTCCCCTTTTGGAGGGTTAAGAATTTGCCCATAGTTGGGATCCTAACAGGTGCTACCACCACGGGTCATGGTGGACCTGGAAACTCCAGCAATTAAGAGGTGGGCAAACGCTCCTCAAAACCTCCTGATCAGAGGCCTTGCTGTCGGGTGTAGTTTATCGTCTTACCCAGGGCGTGGATGTAGTTTATCGTCTAACCCAGGATGGGTGTTGTGATTGTTTTTTATTTTGTCGACTGCACAGTATTGTAACGTTACTTGGTCAATTCACTCTTTGAAATTTGGAAACGGTATGTTGTATTGCTTTTCATTCGTACAGGAAGCTCCAATATGAACATTTCAGAGTGGTCGGCTCAAAAATCTGGGGACAATGCAAAGATAACTGACAACTGTTTTCGAGTATGACCATCATTACATGTCTTAGCTGTGCTTTAAACGGATATGGACCTTTAAACCGGACCAATTTAAAACCAATGAGACATATTGAAAGTATGAGGAACACATTGCTTTGAATAAAATGACTGGTTAAAGACATCCATTCACTTGCGTAGATTGGCAATTTGTGCATCTCTTGCAGAAAGTCTTAAAGTAATGGTTTGTTGAAATTTTACATACATGTATTTTCTTGAAATTGATGATTTATTCCGGCATTCTATATATATATATATATATATATATATATATATATATATATATATATATATATATATATATATTATAATCGTTATTTTAGTCGGTTTCAGTTGCTATACTTGTGTTTATTTTTCTTATAAAGTGGAATTAATAGCAACCAGCATAAACCGAGAAGATCTAATAAAGAAAAGAATTGTGCCTCTCGACAGGAATTCAGCCCTTTTTGCATCAGAGAAACCACTCATATATTCGTGACAATTAAACCACTGGTGAACATCGATAGAAATAAGAGATACAGGTGTGATTCATGCTGGGTTTCACAATCTTTTTTAGTACGACTTCTCGTTCTAGGCCGGTTGTTTAACAGTTGTCTATTGTAATAGTATGGTTGATTTTGTTTAGGGACTATGGGTTAGGTTAATGCCGTAATCGAAATATTTTTACGCAATTTTATGGCTTCAACTACAGATAATTTGAACATAATTTGATACTTTCAGGGCAAAGATATGTTTTTTTTTAGATATATAGTTCAGAGATGATAAAATATTTTGCTGATAATTTTACTATAAAAATATATTTTATACTTTCCTATTGAACCAACAAACAAAAAGCAAAACACTATTTTCCCATAGCTGGGACCCTGACACTTGTTACTATCTCAGTTCAGAGTGGACCTGGGAAAAACAGAAATTATGACGTGATTCCGCGCTCCTCCAAACCTCTAATCTCTAGATCAGATGTCTTCCTGCCGGATGAAGAATATCGTCATACACAGGGCTACTTTATAATAGTAATAATAATAATAATATATATATATATATATATATATATATATATATATATATATATATATATATATATATATAGGGTTAGGTAATGGGAGATAATTAGATATTAGCGTCCGTATACGCCCGTGCAGGCGTGCATATGCTGGTAAGCAAATAAATAATTACCAATGTTATCCAAGAGGTATAGACATAATAGTGCTCAATGTGATTAGACAGAGCTAAGAAATATATATTAATAAACACACATAAACCTACGATTGGTTTTCGATTCGAGTTTCGTTGGTCACCCAACTCATCAGGCGTAAGATATAGCTTATTTTTTATTTAAAAAATATACAGATGTTCATGGGATGGATGCTGATTCATAGTTTATAATTTAAATAGCAAAAAATAGTAGAAAAGCAATATGTGTGTGTGTGTGAAAAATTATATAGCTATTTATCAAGAAAGCAAAACTGATACAACAGAAAAATATTCTCTAGTATATTTTGAACTTAAAGAGGTTCTTGATAATATGTTTTTAGTTCATTTTTTCCGTTATGGAATCATTCCGGCTATATTTAAAATCTGTGTCGTTATTGTCGTGTCTTCGACAAAGGAAAACATTCAAAATCAGTAGAATGTTTTCAATGAAAATTTCGCTTCATTCTTCAATAAAATTCTACGATGTTTAGCGGATGCTGGCAACTAAATCTGTCACTGCCCTTCCCTCTTTTCATGGACACAAATTTTCTGGAATTCTCTTCAGTTTCGTAATCTCCCAATCCTCTCTCCCTCTCCCCCTCCTTCTCTGTAAAATAAGTCAGTACATCCATTGTCCCATTTCCACATCTGGCACCTACTGATTTTACCCATTTTTTTTTCTGAAATTGTTCAGTTAGATCTCACATCGGAAAGATCTCAGTCATGCGTCCTTCTCTATGCCACAAGCAGGCATGGCATCGTTTTTGAGAGAAAGTGGCCTGTCTTTCACGCGCGGCTAGCTCGTTTCCTCTTCCTTTCTCTCCTGTCTTTAGCGATAGTCGTTTCCATGTCGTTCGCATTTGATGGTGACAATTTTGATGATCTCATCGTCTCTCCAACCAAAAAATAAAGAACACTACGTTGGAGTTGGATGACCACCCCGACGACATGTTCCGCCATGTTTTATTTTAAATTCCTCACAGAAAGTACTTGGCACATTAGTTTTAAAACGCATGCGCATAGAAATGTGTTAATATATATATATATATATATATATATATATATATATATATATATATATATATATATATATATATATATATATATATATACAACAGAAGTGGCTTTTCTTTTTATATATTACTGCTAAGCACAGGCAATAATAAACAATTCTTTATTTTTATATATTTAAATTTATATAAAACTAGGCATGTTGACAGGAAATTACACTCGGACCTGTATTCAGCTAACATACATACATATATATATATATATATATATATATATATATATATATTAACACATAGATTTAATTTATGCTCTTACATACAATCCTGGTCACAATTATTAGTATCCAGTACGTAAGTTCGAATATCAACGTCAACTTCCGTAGTTTCACTCTAAGCTTACATATCACTGTAAAGCGGTCACTCTCGTAGTGATTTATAATGTTAAAATTTTATATTTCCTGTACAGTTTTAATCCATATTTTATTTGCTCGAAAGAAAGTATGCTAGATTTATACATGAATAAAATATTTAAAATATATAGTTTTTTTTTATACAAGTCATGGTCAAAATAATTACTGTACAATATATTTTATATAGCATGTATACTTTAGTATATATTAAAATTGAAACAGCTAAACATCTTCTTTACGTTGTAGTAGTTATTGTTTTGTTGTATGTCATACAGCTGGGTGCCATGAGAAATTGCTTGGTGTGCCACGTGTGGCACGTGTGCCGCATGTAGTCGAGCCCTTGTTTACAACATTGTTGACTACGAGATATTTCGAGTCTGGCATTTTCTGATACATTTTCCTCTGCAGGCGCCAACAACTCGTTTATACACAGTGAAACTTTCAGAGTGAAAGAAACGTTAAGACTTCAATGGAAGGTTTGAATCTGATTGCTTATTTTAGCTCTTATAAGAGGGCGTTTGAAGTTTGATTTGGTAATTTGCCTATAGCTGTAAAATTTTAATATCAAGTTGGATGCAGTTTTTGATTTCAAAATAAAGTTTGTTTTAGTTCTGAATTAATTTAATTTCGTATCATTTCCTTATTTTCCTAAATCGACCGCATTGTTTGGATTTATTAGTTCTATCTATCTAGCCACACATTATGTGAGGCGCACAGTTGATTTGAAGGCAAATATTGTGGCATCTTTCACCAACTTAAACACGGAAACCGTCCAGAAGAGATGCAGGAGCTTCCGCGTTTGTCTGGAAGCCGTGGATGAAGCCAATGGCGATTTTATTGAATAAATGTACTCTTTAGTATTTAAATACATTTTTCTTTTAATTTTGATAAATATATCTGTTAAAATGAGATGGCAGTGTTATTTTCATTTTTGTGTTATTTAAACGAAAATTTATCCATCGTACCCATATGTGTGCGTGTGTGGGCGTTAAAATCATTGTTTATATTTGTCTGCATTACCCAAACATTATGACGTCTTTCATGTGATGCGATTAATATTTAAGAAGGTAATTCAACAATTTTGTCAAGCATATCCGGAATTAATATTCTCATTTGCATAGAGATTATTCCTTCAAAATACCCTATATTCTGCTTAATGTAAAACTTGTGAGAATATGCATTTTAAAGACATTTCAAACTATTATAGCGATTGCTATGTTTTCACACCCACATACACTCCAAGTCAATTTATTCGCCTGCGATTGGCTAATAAATTACTACTACCTTTGTATAGGACAATTTAGCCATCGCAGTCGTTCCTTTGAATCTTTTGGTTCTAAGCATACTTATCTATTCTGTTTAGTACGAGTGTAGTGATTGGTTAATTTTTAACCAATCACATATTTTTAATGTAAGATCAGTTTTCCCACGCTTCCGTGGGAGCCTACCTTTTTTCCTTAAAAGGGGCAATTTTCGCAAGTCGCCAGTAATATCCAGTAAGATTCAGTAAGGTCCCAGCCGTCAACACAAATCCACGATCTTGCTCAACGCACACACAGAGACAGAATTTCGTAACTACAAACTTACATTTTCTCTCTGCTACTTTCGCCAAGCAAAATCAACCAGAACTTTGCCGATTCAAACCAGTTTATTTCACAACACATTTCAAGCAATTGTATTCTTCGTGTTATTCATTCTTCACTTGCAAACTTTGCTCTAACAATTATTTCGGAACATTTATCTGACAAGAAAACTTTCTTCAAACAGTTGATTACAAATCAATCTACAGTTAAAGGAAAACAACTTCCTTCTCTTTAATCTACATTGTGAACACAAAATTATTTCATGCTTGTATTTTATTCAATATATATTTGTTGGTTAACAGATTGGAGTTGTTTTTATTATAACTTGAATCCTCAACGTGGAAGTATCATTAATATAAATAGTACTAGTGCCTATATATTTGCTACCCCGCTACATTATCATTACAATTAACTTTGTTCGTAAAAAATGAAGACTTATCTGACAATAGACTGGAGTTGAAAGAAACGAAAGAAAAAAAATGATGGTTAACCGACGGCAGATATATTAACATGTTCCCTGTTTTGCCGGTAGTCAATGTTATCTTGCTGATAAAAAAAAAAAAAACGAAACGTTAATTTCTAAGACTGGATGGTTCTTCCCACTTGCCGTTAGGCAATCTTGATACATCAATTTTTATTTATCAGTTTTCTGCCATATTGCGATTTACTTAGTTGTTTCCAGGAATATAATGTACGATGTGGCAAGAAAATGCAATCTTCAAGAATATTTTCCCCCAAAAAAAACATTGCAGGAGCGAATTGATTCCAGTCAACTGAAAAGTGATTGACTCATTTTGACACGTGTTTCTTCGTTGTCTCGGACTGTCTGGAAGGAAGCGTGCACGTGGCTCTGGGTGTAGCAGACCGCATCCATCAATCATAGACTCGGAACATCAACGTCTTTTAATCTCCATTTGAACATTTTAGAGAATGACCATTTCTCACTTTGTATTTTTCTTTTATGTTGTCGTTGGTTTATTGATTTCTTTTATTTATTTCATGAGTTCCATTCTTGGAAAGAATTCTTTTTTCGTTTTTCATTTCCGATTTCTCTTTTTATATCTAAGTCTTTCGTTTTTATTCTCTTCTTTTTAATTCATTCTTTGAAAGATTTTACTTTTTTAATTCTTACATAGTTTTTCTTTTTCTTTCTTTCCTTAAAATACATTACTTTGAAATTTTCTGCTTTTCTTTAATTCCATCTTTTTATCTTTTTGCTATATTTTGATTTGCTTTCTTTTACTTCCTCCTTTTCTTTCTTTCTTTCTTTCTTTATTGCTTTCTTTCTTGCTTGCTTTCATCTTCATTTATGTCCTACTTTCTTGCTTGCTTAATTGCTCTTTTCTTTCTTTCTTTTTTTCTTTTTTCTTGTTTTCTTTCTTTCTTAATTTATTTTGATCTTGTAATTTTCTTCATTTCTAATATTCTGTCTTTCTATATTTTAAATTCCTTGCTCGTATGCTTCATTTCTTCTTATTTGTATAGTGAATATTTCTTTCTTTATTTCTTTCTTTCTTCATTGAATGAAATTATTTTTTCAAGAATTCTTATTTTTTCTTTCGTTCTTGCGTTTTCTCCTTGTTTTTCAAATCTCATTTCAAAGTTGTTTGTTTTTTCTTTTGTTATCGGAGGCTGATTTCTTTGCTTTCATTTTCTTTCTTTATTTATTTCTGTCTTACTTTTTTTTTCTTCAGTCAGATTATCGCAATCAAAGAACATCCTAAACGAAAAAGGATTTGATTTCATATCACCTTACGAAAAACAAAGCTAGCTACAAAACACAACGAAACATCGCATATTTGAATAGGTTTCCCATCATAAACTGGAATACTGTTGTATTTAACTTACTATGCTTCTACGCCTGTACAAATTGCTTTTAGAGAAATATTATTTGCAATGTTCAAGTAGAAGGCTTCATTTACTTTTACTTCCTTTTTATAGAATAAGGACTTAATTCTGTTCAACGCGATTTGACGATAATATAACATTTCCTTATCTATATAAAACCCGGTTTTGAAAACAAAATTATAAGTGATTTCCGTTGTAAAGACATCATGCGTCGGAAGCAACATCTGTCAGTTCTCTTTTCCCAATAATAAATATTTTACTGCAAAAGAAATACGATAGATTAATCAGTCATCACTGCAGCTTATGAATGGGAGTGGTGAAGTGGAGGAGAAAGACTAGATTAATTCGTCAATTCTTGTTGGACATTAGAGAAAATCATAGCAACAGAAAAGTGATTGTGGCTTTTATTGATGATCATAATCCATAACAAGTAGTAGTAGTAATATTATTAATAATTATAATGATGATAAGATTAATATCTAGCGATTATTTGAAAAAATAGCAAGCATCGATACGCGAAGGAATATCGTTAGCTATAAATTTTAGCATTTATATGTACATACACTCACAAATACACACACGCACATACATACATGTATATAATGAAATAAGGAACAGGAAAGAAATTATATAAACTGACACGCTTCTTTATTTACTTAATAAATAGGTAATCCTCCCACATTTCTAAAGCATTCCGACTTGTCCTTATTTTATAATTCCGTCCGATTTAATCCATATTCAAAATATACATATATCATATCCTTAGAAACATCATAAAGAAATACACAACGTCAGTCGACAAAAACAAGGAAATTTAATTATTTATTACAAAAAATTTAAAACCGCTAACCTTATCGCCAAAAATATAAATTCACCTTCAAAATCTGCAATACAGAGAAAAAGTATTATTTACAAATTTGCATATTTCTTAAGAAGCTATGTTCCTGACCAATTCAAATTTGTAAATAATTATATTGGTTCTACTACATGTTTAACGAGAAGACTGACGTAATATCTCTCTGGCCATAGCTCAATTAAGTCGCATTGAAATACATCAAATTCTATCGGTAAAATACACGTTGATAAATCAAATATAACAGCACCATCCACATGTACAAAAAGGCTAAAATAATGGAAGAATTATTAATAAACAAAGAAAACGCCACCAATCAATAATATCAACTATGTACACGGACAAAATATGCTGACCGTGTTTGGAAAATAAACCATTCTTATACCTCTAGATACATACATAAAACAATGCATATAATCAGTTAAAGAAAAAAAATCATACTTGATACGGACTAAAAGTAGAGCCGAAAGCCCTTTGAAAATATTCGGATAAGTTTTATTTAATTTGTCCCATGAAAAAAAATATATAAATATATGATATATATGTATATATGATAAAAAATGTTTTAAGGTATGATATATTGATAGGTTAAAGTGCTTAATAACTGGGATAGAGCGTATGTAGATATAAAAGTTGACATTAAAGTCAACACCCAGAAGAGACAGTCTGCTTCTTGCTTAAACACAATCTATCTATCTATCTATCTATCTATCTATATATATATATATATATATATATATATATATATATATATACCCAAATGTGATAAAGAACAGTTGGAGTAAAAATCCACAGTTCGTAGCATTTACTTTTTAAAAAAGTGCTCAATACAAAGTAGAGAAAATATCTACCTTCTTAGTGCTGAAACATGATAGTTTTGTGTAGGGAAGCAAAATGTTTCATGGCAATTTCTTATTATATATATATATATATATATATATATATATATATATATATATATATATGGGGAATGGTTGCTGGAATGTATAACTTGATGAAACTCCGCCATTTGTCATTGTGTCATCGGTGTACAGTGGAACCTCAGTTTAACGTACTTATAGGGGGAAGATTGTCCGTTAAAGCCGTCAGTTATTTTGAAGCACTTTTTTCTCGTGGCCTAAAATCCCCTAGTTCAGAACAAACTTATTGCAAATACCTTATATAGGCTTGACAACAACAATACAGTAAACTGTACCAAAATTAATATAAAATGTTCGAGAGACCATGCATGTGTGTACACGACAAGCGCTCAAGTAACCAACAGCGGCTATTCCCCGAGCTACAAATCTCTGTCTATTGTTTGCACCAGTAAACAACAGCGGCCCATTCTGGATCTAACAGACACTGCTCGCTAAACGCGTGCGTTTTGAGGTCTAACCGGACTATCATTTCTGCGAATTTCGTCCCTTCAATCTGGAGTCCGTTGGTTGTATATAAAATATATGTACATGTCAAAATGTATGTTGGTAGTGCAGAGTTTTCACAGAGAGCAACAAAATGAATTAATGTTGTAGCAATGACGTTCTTCATTTTTTATATAATACATATATACCCTTTTTGAGAATAAGCTTAGCTTTACATTACTTTTTTGTTATATATAGTTTCTGCCGTGACCAGTGAATGCTGACATTTCGAATACGATAAATGATTGAGAAAGAAAGAATATCGTCTCACTTTCTTTATATTAAATATATGTAAATGCTACTTATGCACGCGTTTTGAAAACTAAAACGATTTTTTAAATATATATTTACTTTATTATATAACAAGAAAATGTTGGTTAAAATTTGCCGATGCCTTATTACGAGGATATGATGTATCAAGCCCAATTTCCGCATGAAGCACTTAATCATTCGAATTGTACAGGCAGGTGTGTATGAGCTCTTGGTTATCTGAGTCGGGTAGAATAGTTTCCGGGTCCATTGCCTGATGTTCGGTTTTGTTTGACTGGAGTTGGAATGAACGGCTAATCAAAGTGGATTCAAAATGACCAAACGAACGTTTCTTCATGTGTTATCTTGGAATAGATATCAAGAGTTATAGAATGGTCATTTTTTGATAAAAGTAATAATAAAAAAACGATATTTGATTTAATAAAACAGTATTCCTTTTCTAAAAAATAGTCATTATGAGTTCACCAAGCATCGTTATATTATAATTTATGACTTTTGTTTAGTAATTACCAGGCAACGTTTACTTTACAGATTTTGTTGAAATATCTGTCTATCTATCTATCGATCTATCTATCTATGAATTAATCAATTCGTTCCAAGCAAGGCGATAATGTCGCTAACGCTTAAGGGGCTACAAGGAGTAAAAACAAAAATGAATTTAGAAGGAACCAGAAACCCAATGCTAAACAGGAAATAAAAGATATACCTCTACTCCTGTTCATAAACAAAGGAATGTCTGTGTACCGGATGATAGGCAAACCTACCTACGTGTGTATGTATGTATGTATGTATGTATCTAACTATAAATCTCTAGTATTCTGTTTAAAACTCTAATACCTTCACACACACACACACACACACACACACATATATATATATATATATATATATATATATATATATATAGTCAAATATCTCACACTTTCTTCTCTCCATCTATTCACTTCAAACATCTCTCGTTTTCTCACGTTTATATATATATATATATATATATATATATATATATATATATATCTGTTAATTTTTTCACTATCAATCTTATTCTGTTCAAATCTCTTTCTCGTTATCTCTATCTATATATACCGCTCTCTCATTCTTTTCAAATTTCCTTCAGTATCTATCTATCTATCTATCTATCTATCTTATTCTCTTCATATCTTTTGATATGTCGTCCAGTATGACTTACCTTCATTCTATCTTGATCACTGATTAGTACATTAGTACATAACCTATTAGCTTTCTATTTCTTATATTCCTCTCTACCAAATCTTTATCGAATTTCCGTAAAAAAAACGATCAATAAGTCTGCAGCCAGACACATAATTATTAAATGAATTTCAATCTGATACTTCTGTTGTTTCCTGCTGATTACTTGATACTTGATTCTTGAGGAAATCCTGCTGCAAGGGAGGGTTAATTAATCCCTGATGTAGACGCCTGCTCAGACATTTTAATTTATTGAACAACAAAAGTCAAAACCTGCAACTCTGACCGGAACTTAGTTATCGTTTCTGGTAAAGAGCACATAATCTGGTGTTAGAGTCTCGGTCATTATCAAGAACCATGTAGTGTCAGTGACCGAAACGGTTCTTGGCCCCGACTGAGGCGGTCGAATATACTTGAATAGAAGCAACATAAAAACACGTGCAATTAAATGTACCTCATGTTAAATCTGAGCGAGTTTCCTGGATAGAAATAACTGGAGATATTTGTGGCAGAGTGGTATCAGGAATTTCGAAATCAGTCTAATTGACTAAATATAGCGGTGAAAAGCGTCAGCAAATATTCCTGTGTCCCGAGATACTCGCTGTTGCACAATATGTGGACATGATTGCAGGTCACTAGCGCGACTAAAGTATCACATACGACTCAAACATAAGAATTGAATGAGGTTGTCGGATCCTCATATGTCGAATTCGACGGGGGCGTATCTCATCATATACCAGGCGTAACAGCAAAATTGTCCAAAATCGTATAACTGCATAATTGTTAGTTCCACAAAATTTTTAATATGTAAAATCTCTTAAAGTAACTAAATTTCTTTTTGTCTATATTTCTGAGATGAGGTATTGTGTAAATTATTTACATTATTTGGACTATTGTCCTCATCTCTGTCGCCATATTTATTACAACGTTTCGGCCGTTGTACGCTCCGGCTTTCTTCAGGTGGTTGGAATGTCGAACTGAACCCTTCATTTCGCTCACTGGGATAAACTGTTCTAGTTCCACGTGATATGTTTAATGGATGTCAGTTATCATTTATCTCTTGTTACTTTCCCTCTGAAAGTTCTGCACTGCCTTAACCGGGTATTGAACTCACACTCTTTGGGTCCTGTCACTGGATCTAAGAAGCGATAATAACAACATAAATTGCATTATGAGCTCTAGTAAAAACATGTAATGATAAGAGCAAAAATTGCAATATGAGCACTGGTAAAAAATGATTGCTGAAAACATTAGTTTTATAATACCCAGAAATTCATGCACAGCTGTCTTCAAGGACACATGGCACAGTGGATAAAGGCGTTGGTTAGTAATAATCACTGAAGAATCCTTTGAATTATTCAAGTAAAAAGAGAGCAGGTTAAAATATTTTGTTTCAGACGCACTGTTTTTCCAACTGAGGAATGGTGAGAGGAAAACGATCATTCAGGCCTTCAGTAATCTTCAGTAATCGTACCAACATTCATCCTCTGGCTTTCATCATCAAAGTCCATTCAAGAAGCATCACGAGAACGCAGAAGTTTAAACAAATAGGGAATGGTAGAGAGGAGAACGATATCACGAGGTTATAGCAGGAAGAGGGATGATCATTTCAATTTAGACATAAAGATTTTGGTACGTGAAAGGGGAGTTTCGTCGATGACATTCCAAAGAGCAGTGGAAAAAAAAACTTCAAAAAGAAATCGTATGTAAAAAAAATATTAGGCAAATTTTACTCCAGAATAGAAGGTTAGAAGGTTAGAGAAGGCGAAAAACTTCGGGAATAAGTTAGAAGAAGATCCTGGAATGATATATATATTTGAACTTTACTTCAATATTTCATGAGCTTCCTATTCTTAGCTATGATAAATTAATGACGAACTTGTCAATTTCGCTTATGGTCGATTATATCACGATACAGTAATTATACATTCTTACTGCTCATCCAGCAGTGTTATAGAAACCTCGGAGACTTCCAATAAGATATCTTTAATCATTTCTAAGAGACAACGTATCAGACACACACACACACACACACACACACACACACACACACACACACACACACACACATATTTTCCTTACTAGTTAGCAAATTGTTAGGGGAAACGAAGTAATGTATTCATAGAGTTGCAGTTTATTTGCTGGGACGTGAATGTAAGGAAAACAAATGGAATTAGAACTCGGCCCTCAGCATTCTTATTCAGAGTCGTTTATCCATTACATCACACTAATAAACTGGTAGCAGGACGTTTCGGTTTTATATTGGGTTTATCTATCCAATGGAGAAACGGGTGCAGGTTCGATCAAGTCGGGAAGAACAATTTTTCGTTAGCCTGGTTGTAATTAGTTTCCTTGTTTTAGAACAAAACAGAGATAAAATAACTTTTATAGTACTATTAAATCTCTATCTCTCTTTTTTTTTATATATATATATATATATATATATATGTGTGTGTGTGTGTGTGTGTGTGTGTGTGTGTGTGTGTGTGTGTGTGTGTTGGTTGTGCATGTGTGAGTGTGGAGATTGAAAGGGAGACCAACGCAAAATAAAAGTTGAGCTTGGATATTTCTGGTCAATTCATAAAATTATGCAAGTTCTTCTTTTTTGCAATTCACTCATTTTTTTTTAAACTAATTTCTCTTCTTTTCTTTCTTTAAACTCCTATTTTTCCTTTTAGCCCTATTTCCCATCTCCTTCGTCATTTTTAAAATATAATCAATATTAAATGTCTTTCTCAGTGACAATTCTCATTAGTATTAACAACGGCTCATTGTTCAAACATTTGAGTATTTACAAGAGACTAGGAAGCAATGAATTACTATTATAAATGTTCAAACTCATCTGATTATAGACAAAGCTCATCCATTGCCTCAGGTGAATGCAATCACATTTAAATCAAATTATTTGATTCTGAAATTTTTTACTACGCGACAGCTTTGGTTCTTAGTATAAAATATCACACATTGTGCTGCAGATCAAGGCATTTGGTTTGAATTTATGCATATAAAAGATCTTTGACAGTGTTTTAATATTCTACCTTATTCTGAGAACATTTAATCAATTAAATATTCTCCTGGCCTTATCATCTTATTCTCTTGTACATTGTGTTCCATCACTAAACTGTGTGATAAGGCTATATGATATATATATATATATATATATATATATATATATATATATATATATATATATATATAATAGATCAGCCGATTCGACTACCTTAGTTTCAGTATTTGGGTATCTTCAGGCGATTCCAGTTAATTGGTTTCTTAACGCCACTTTTTTTTTGTAAATTAATGAACACTGTATCTTTTTAAAGAATAAGCAAAAAAAAAACGCACTATGTGAAGTGTGATAGGAGACGGGGAGGAGGAGGAGGAGAAAAGCAAGGGAATCAGAAATGTATCAGTTATGGAAAATAAATAACTTCTTTTCACCCTGTTTCATACGAACTAAAAAGGAACATTCAGTGTGTATGTAACGAGTCATAATTGCAGATTCCTCATTCAAATTTTTTGGGGGGTCTGGAAGTATTTTTGCTAAATTTTCTTGTTGACAAATGTTGCAGATATTACCATAAATATTGCAAGATTTTTTTTTAATTCAACTCCGACCATTAAGATATATATATATATATATATATATATATATATATATATATATATATATATATATTTACGGATAACGAGCACTTCCCATTAAATACTACGTATAAACACACACACACACACACACATGCATGCTAAACGCAATGTCTGTCCTGACGATTGTGTCAAGCATGAACCGCCTGTCGCCTCTGACTATATTCACTTTTATATTTACATACGCTCTACCTCTGATATTGATAATTTTTCCATAGATATAACATATTTTAATACTATATTACTTCATATATATGTATACACACATATATGTGTATGTGTGTTTTGATATATATATATATATATATATATATATATATATATATATATATATATATATACTATAATTCAAAAGTTTCAGGTCAAATCTAATAATTTTAATTGGCCCAAAAAAGTAGGTTTTTTTTATTTTAAATAAGAGAAAATTATTATGCATAGTTTTAAAAAATGTGACACATGGTTTTTTCATTAAAAATTTGATCATGCGAAAAATTCCATTTTTCAAAGAAATTCCCTTTTATGATTAAATTTTGCCCTCGTAAAAATGTCCTCCTTTAGTCTTGAATAGTGCAGCACAAAGTTCTGGCATTCGTGAGTCAAGTTTCTCAAAGTATAAGTTTGATAATTGATTCCATTCTTTTTTTCACTAACTCTAAACACTCATTTTATTTTCATTTTATTTTCATTTCCTCTCTTCTGTCAAGTTCATCTCATACTAATTCTGCTGGTGGCTTTATACTTTTAAATAATATATATATATATATATATATATATATATATATATATATATATATATATATATATATATATATATTAAAGAAAAACAGACCACTAAGGTTCCATTATAATACTTTATTTCACCAGAGCCCTTTTAATCCTTCGGATTACCCATACGGATTACCAAGTTTTTCATAACTTAATTTTATTTATATATATATATATATATATATATATATATATGTGTGTGTGTGTGTGTGTTGTAAATGTTAACACATTCATTACAAGCCGGAATGCTCCATCAGTCATAACTTCTTTTGGGCATTATTATTCATAATTTAACTGATATTTTATATTTTCTTGGTGACCAATTCCCCTTTCTTCATAAAACATAAGAGAATAAACAATTTTTACAGTAAAAAAAAGAAGATCCAAAAACAGCAGGTGTATCCTTTTCCGACTAAATCCATTCCATATGTAACCACACCCGGATCTGACCTGATAAGACGAGGTGGTGAAATTAAAGTTACCTCAACACTCTTTTCAATGTCTCCGTTACTCGGAGCGTTTAATCAACTCAGGCAAACTTGAGTACGATAACAGGCAGAAGATTTTGTTTCATTGTGTGGAAACGTTTTTATTTTTATTTTATCGCAATGAATAAATAAATAACAACGATACGCAATGCGCACGTGTGTACGTATATTACAGAGCAAATCAAAAGGAATTATACATCAAAACGTCTTGATGGCAAACGAAGGTTTGAAATTTAGAATGTCAACTCCAGAGATCTAAGATTCACTTGCTAGCACCGGCTGACTTGAGCTCATTATATTTGATTCAAGATCGGACGATGACTACACAACATTTCAAGTAAAAAAGTAGTTCCTTGTTTTTTTCCCCAGCTGTTCACGAATACATATATATCTATATATATTTATAGGCATCACACACAAGTAGAGAGAGAGAGAGAGAGAGAGAGAGAGAGAGAGAGAAAGAGAAAGAGAAATGAATGAATGAATTGGGAGAGAATGGAGGGGAGAGAAAGAAGGAGAAAGAAATGCACGCATCTGATATGTTTATTGGTTTTTCTGCTTAGATTTGAACACAATCTCAGATAATGGACACTGGTTCTATGAGTACAGTTTGCCAATAATTACACTACGATGTAGCAACATTTTTTTAAATAAATAATACAAGTCTCTACGCTAGGAGCAAACAGCTATCAGTATCTATCTATCTATCTATCTATCTATCTATCTATCTATCTATCTATCTATTCCGATCTATCTATCTATCTATCTATTCCGATCTGTCATCTATCTATCTATCTATTCTAATAGTTGTTATTTGTACACTATATCAGTTTTTACCATGTATCTCAATTCTTTGTCAATAATATTCGTATTTTGCCAATAATAATGATTAAGTTTTCTGGATATATTTATATGGTAAATTAGACAGCCCGTTAAGTGCCATACGTGATACATACTTGGGTGATCTTGTCTCTTTCTATTCATGACTGACTAGACAGAAAATTTACCTGCGGTAGTTTGCCATTTCTTTTTGCGCTAGACTGGTTGTCACCAAGGCTATAGTACCCAATCTGCCCTGCTATTCAACCCATATCTGGAGTTGGAGAGAAAAAATGGATCCATATCTTCTCAACGGTATTTGCGCATAAGTGAATGTAACGGTGAAAAATTACATTTATTAGAAATACTCACAAGAAAATATAATATATTAACAATTTCTTATATTTGTTTATGCAACTCAAGTAGTTATCTCAATTTAATCAATAAGTCTACAAAAATATAGATGCAAATATCGAGTTTTAATTTCAGAAATATAAATAGTCTAGGAGTCGTATGAATGATATCAAGTGAAAAGGTAAACTAGATAGTGTTTGGTTTGGTTTGGTTTGTTTTACGGCATATCAACCTGAATGGGTTATTTAATGCCGACAAAATTTTTATTGATGGTAATATTTTGTTTTGTCAGAAATCTATTTCTGGTAATACTGTTTATTTTTTAAATGCGTTGTTGGTAATATTTTTTTAAAATAAATGTATTACTGGTAATATTATTTTTCTTTAAAAATTTATTCATGGTTAATAATTTTTTACAAAATATTTCTAGTATTAAAAACCCATATTTACATTTTCATAGTGTTTTTTTACCCCAGTTTCAGGGTTAACTATTTGCCCAGAGTTGGGACCCTAATAGATGCTACCACCCCAGTTCAGGGCGGAACTGGGAATAGCAACAATTAAGGGGTGGTTCCACGAACCTGATCAGATGCCTTGCTTTGGACGTAGTTTATCGTCTTACCCTGGACGCGGATATAGTTTATCGTCATACCCAGGATTAGATAGTGTAATGAAAACAATATTTTCAACTGAAAAAGATGGAAAGAAATAACATGCATGAAAGGTGAAGTCGAAATACGGGCGAGATATTTAGAAAAATATCACTCAAATATATTTGAGACGATATCAAAGATTAATAACAAAATCGGTTGGCCAGGAATAAATATTTGAAGAAGCTTCATTGTGAATATAAAGAGTAAGAAAAACGTTCAGTAACGCATAGATATTGACTAAAAACATGACAACATACAATCTTTAAGTAAACATGAAAAGGAGTAAATTGTTTTTTAAAAGCCACTACAAGAAGGAGTTAAATTGTTTGGAAGAATTTGAAACAGAAATATTAACAATGTGCTTGAAGAAAACAGAGTACCCAGAGGGGGATTTTTGCAGATTAAAGTGAACATGGAGCAAGAATGGAGATCCACAAGAGAGAATTGCTAGAAAAGAAACTGTTAGCATAGAACTTACGGTTAAGTCTATACAGCTCAGCTGTAAATTCATGAGATCTCTGTGCCAATCTAATACTGCGCTTGAATTCAGAAAGTCTATGTACCATAGCAAAGAGCTCACTCGAACAATTATGATGGAAGCATTTACAGAAAATACAGAGACAGGCCAACTTACGGTGATGGAAAAATGACTGAAGCCGAGCCGCCAGATCAGCACCGATAATATTGCTAATTTTTTTTTGATTTTGCCAACGAACCCAAGGTGCAAGCAGGGGCAGTCAGACCATATGTGGCAGCATTTTTCTATGCATGGTAGACTTATAGATATAACTTACAACTTACAAGTGAGGAAAATACATGAACACGGCTTTATCTATAGTCATATTTACTGATGGAAGAGAAATTGTAAACTTCATATAAATATGTTACATGTTGTCTTGTAAAAGATGAAATATTTGTCGTCAAAACAAAACAAAAAAAAATGTTTTATGCTAAAGATTAAATTTAAACGTGACAAAATATGCAAATTGAACAAAGCGGACGATTGCTCACCTTTGTCCTTTTTACCCAGGCACACCAGATATTACTCAAATAGAAAAGTTTTGATTCGTCATTAAATTATGAGAGAGGAAACAATACTCAAGCTATGGCGATTCTCTCGAAGATGTACAATCTGCTGCGACTAATGACAAAATCAAAAGTGTAGACTAAAAGATATTATTTGCGGAAAGAAACAAAAACTATACAAGAAATCGGGAAACCCATGGAATATTAGGTATATTTTCCACTAATATTATCTATATATATATATATATATATATATATATATATATATCTGTCAATCTATCTATTCCAGTATCTATCTATCTATCTATCTATCTCTATAAATATCTATCTATCTATCTCTATAAATATCTATCTATCTATCTATCTATCTCTATAAATATCTATCTATCTATCTATCTATCTATCTCTATAAATATCTATCTATCTATTCCAGTATGATCCTATCTATCTATCTATCTATCTGATGGTTAATACACGATTCCATGTAATGCTAAATAGGGAGATGTATAAAGAAATATGAAAAGGGCGAAAGGGTAGCTTTATCTTGTATGTACTTCCACGTCGCTATTTCTATTTGCTTCTTTTCACTGTTTTTTCTTCTCAATTTATTCGATTATTTTTGTTTGTATTATTTATTATTTATGTTTTAAAATCTTCCTTTGTCTCTGTGAGAAAAGAAAACGAATTAGTGTCAAACTGTTCGGCTTTCTATTCTCACTGACACATTTATAGAATGGTTCTTTGTTTCTTTAAAATTTATATATCTTCAGGCTTATAAGACGTAAGTATTTTTTATATAGTTGTCACTACAATTTTGTTGCATTTGAAAAGAAAAAGGTCAAATCTTTGGAATTATAAATATTCATTGCTCTCACTACGATATGCTCGTATAAACGATGATAGATGGTTAGGAAATACAATTCATATAATGCCTGGGAGATTGACTTCGTTTTCGACAAAAAAAAAACTCTTAGTAATTTCTCATTTGTCTACATTCTATTGTAATATTTTCAATTTTTTTATACTTTATTTCATTTTCCTAAAAAATATTTTATAATAACTTATAAATTACATTATCTTACATTCCTACTTTTTCCCCCTATAATCAAAATTTTCCTTTCAGTTCTATTTCTCGCCCTTTCTCTTTCAATCTCGCTTGTATTTTTTCTTACTTTTTCCCTCATTACTTGAATAAAAAGTATGAGCTCTCCCCTATCTCATGTAAAAACGTATGAATATCTGACAGATCGTAATTCAATCTGATCTTACCGGGCTTTACCTAGGCTAACGCCAGCTGCTCACTCTGTAACAGGTGAAGATTTCTCATCACACCAACACTCCCCATTGCCGTCCACATTCATGAACAAAAACATCGTCTAATACAAACATTTGGCAAGCTCAACGAACTAACACATTGACACAGAACAATCGGTTTCAATGGAAGTATCACTCCATTTTGCGTTAACGAGGGATAATTCTACCTGACGAGGCTGGCGAAACCTTTTCGCGCATGAATGAACTAAAGCAGAAGCCATTAGGTTAAGTAAGATCGACACGGTTTGAGGATGATTACACCGGGGTCTGCTATAATGTCGGCCATGTTTTGAAAGACAGTCGATCATAAAGATCTGTTCGTTCTACCGTACAAAAGCATTTTCCAAGATTCGCTCTAATAATCATCTATATGTATACTCATATACACACACACACACATGCAGTCACACATGAATATATATTCACGCGCACGCGCGCACACAGGCACACACACAAATAAGTGCGAGTAAATGTGCGTTGTGTATGTGTGTATTGTCCATGTATTTCAATAACATATCGTACAATATATAATTACGCACGTCCATCCAGCTCAATGTGATATATATATATATATATATATATATATATATATATATATATATATATATGAAGAAATGAGAGAGAGATAGGAAGAATACACGTACATGTCTTCCTCTTTAAAAAAAATTGTACGCGCACACGCACACACACATCTCTCTTTTTATATATATATATATATATATATATATATATATATATATATATATATATATATATGCATGTATGTATGTGTGTGTATGTTGAGGAGAACAGGAGAAAAAGATTAGAATGAATATCGCCTAGAAATGAGTACAGATGTAGCACTTAGAAGGAAAATGTTATTTTACTACCAAACATAAAATATCAAGATTTTCTCATTTATCTTGGGTACCAAATAATGAAACAGAATCTTATCTGATATTATCCACAGGTCAAAATCTACAGTATACCTTTTTTTCAGCAATAAAACTATATGAAAATATTGCAGCATAAATTATAGGTCCCTATGATATGTGACCCCAGCCAGAATTCGAAGCCGTGACCCAAATTTCTTTAATGTGTTTCAAGCTCTATGTGTCTGCATCATCAATGGTTCTAGTAAAACAATAAAACCTACTCGGAAAAAGACCGACTCATCTCAAAAAAAAAAATTACTTGAATAGAGTTTGCCTTTACCCAGAAAATAAAGCAATTTCGAAGGTTATAGTGGATTTTTATTTATTAATCCAATATATTTTAATACTTAAACGTTATTTTTAGTAGATGCATATATTCCATTTATGTATTGAACTAAAACAGTATATATTTTTTGTCGTCTACGGTCCTGGTTAAACATAAATATGCGACTCCGTCAGGATTCGAACCTTTTTCAGAAGGCATGAAGATTTGGCGAATCATGATCACACACGTCATCATGGAATACAACATATTAAAAAAAATCATTTTTCAAGAGTTTAACTAAATTCAGATTGCGAAACTTTCCGATTATTTTTGCCTTTTCTTTCTTCAGAAACATCGGTACATCTGAAACAATTTTCCATATGTACCATCACTGTGATGACCACATCCTCTTTTTGGATACGTTGGTTATTGATTCACCTGACCACAGTACGCTCTTCCGAAACGTTGATTTTTATATTCTTATTTTATTCCCCTGGTATACCCGCCTGAATATTCGCGAAATCTTATTAAAGATAATATGCCCTCCTCGGCAGGATTCGAAACTGTGTTCCCCTGAGCATGAGAAACTGTCGTTAGATCTGTTTATAATGCACCATTTAATTTTGCTTGATTACCGACGGAATCCGTGGCTGAGTTGGTTTAAAGCACATCTACTCAAACCTAATATTGTGTTTAAATAAGTTCTCTTCGTAGGTATTTTGTCAAGTATTGACGGCAACATATACATAGTTTTGCAATTATTTCTATTCTTTAGTATGTGGTCTTAAATATTTAGTGATGATGTCGGTTTTCATTGTGCAATGTTTCTTAAGAATAATAAAAATTTTGGTGTATTTTGTATGTAACATAATTGATTTCGATGAAAAAAGTACTAATTGTGTATTCGGTTACGAGTAATATAGTTATTGGCGGCGGTTATCTATATATAGGACAAAGGTATATACAAGTGAGCATTTTAGATATTTTATATACATGCACAAGTATATAAGCGAAATCGATATCATTAAGCACTCCCGTAAATCATTACTATTCCACAATGAAGAAGCATGGATAAAGAAAGATGGGATATTTGACACTACAATGGGAAGCTTTGACGGTGCAGAACCATGCGAAATGATAGGTATTTACTTAATACACTAGTTTACTATATATGCTCTCTCTTTTTCCTCTTTCCCTTTCTCTCACTCTCTATTTCACACAGACACAAAGACACACAACGACACACACACACAAGTTAAAACATTGCAAACGATTAACAATGTACTGTGGTTAAGTTTTTCATTTAACTTTATTCGTGTTCTTATAATTTTCTTCTTTTTTGGAGATAAATTATGTAGAAATTGCCCGAATGTTCTGTACGCCAGAGCGCATTTGACTATACCTTTAGTTATCTTCAAGAATACTTTTATTCATTACCTTTAAAAGAGTCTTTGGATTGTTTTAAGTATGTAACTAGAGTTATAGGTATGTTTTATTTTCCAAACATGGTCTGCACATTGAGGCCGTATCTATAATTGAATTTATTGAGCGTTAGTTTTTTTTTATTAATCATGCTTCTATTATTTTTTGCTTTTTTTTACATATTTATAAGACTATTATATTTGTATTATCAACGAGTACATTAACGCAAATGGAGTTTGTTAGGTATCCATGTGTATTTAAATAAGACGTAACTGAGCTATGGTCAGAGATGTGACGTGAATTATCTTGTCAGACATGTTGGAGTATACCCAGTATAATTATTTCAGCATTTACTTTGATCAAGAACAACGTTCCTTAAGAGAAATATGAATTCGTCAATGATATTGGTTCTCTACAATTTGAATCTTGCAAATGAATTGTTATTGTTGAAGATGATTTGAGCAGTTTCTCATTTTTTATAGTAGATAAGGAATTTAATTTTCTTGTTTTTGTTTATTTGTATATAATGCTTATAAGGAAAGATTAATCCTGCTTATAGCTACCATTTATTTGTTGTTTTTTTATATAGAAAATGTTAAGGCTATTGTTTTTATCTGCATATTCAGTATTGCTATTGGTTATCTTAGAAAGGAAAATTATAAGAACGCAAAAAAATGAAATGAAAAAACTTAGCGACAGTAATTTGTCATCCGTTTGTAACGAAACCGCATGCACATACACACGCTTATATATATATATATATATATATATATATATATATATATATATATATATATATATTGTTGTGGTAGGATCCACCTAATTTGCATAGTGGAGTACCGACCATATAAATATGGTTGGTACCGGGAAGAGAGGGAGGAATCAAGAGATTCAACCAGAGATTCTGACCGACTGCGACTCAGTCAACACATTCACCAGGAACGGTCTTACCAGGAATATACAAAAGACTATATGTAAATATTGTGTACACTTTCTTGTTTCAATACATTTTGTTCTAAGTACATTTTGTGTTGTATTATTATTCCATGCATTAGTCAAGTTTCAACATATATATATATATATATATATATATATATATATATATATATATATATATAAAAGAAAGAACAGTAAGATATAAAATCCGGTGTTCTTATAGATATTTTATTTTTACAAAATGGTGCTCAATGTAAATTTACAGAGCATTAATATTATAAATTAATTGATTTAAAATATGTTTTTTTTCGCTACACAGTTCCAACCATGTTTCAATTTTTGAAACATGGTTTGGAAGCGAAAAAAACATATTTTAAATCAATTAATTTATATATATATATATATATATATATATATATATATATAGTGTATATTTTATTTTTGCCATTTGATTTAACTTTAGATTTTTTTTTTCTTTGTCATTACTTTCACAACTTTTGGGGTTCTTTAGCTTTTCGTTAAAGATCTCGTTTTAAGCGACGTATTTCTTTAATCATTTTCCAGCATCTATTTACATTTTTCTTATCGTTTGAAATTATATTCCAACTTTATTTCCATTATATGTTTTTGTGTCATGTTTATGTTATTTTGTTTTATAGTTATTATTGTTATTTTTTTTGGCGTCATTTCTTTTTTCGTATTATCTCGTTAGTTTTTCACTTACTTATTTTTTCTTTTGGCTTTGTTTTTAACTTTTCCTTTTGCATTGTTTCTTTTCTTCACTCTTTCTTTTCTCGTCTCGGATTTCTTTCCCTCTCACTTTATGCTTTACTTTTTCGTAGATTCCTTTTTTTTTATTTCCCTCTGATATTGTCTTTCCTGTATTTCTTTTGCTTTTGATGCTCTTTCTTTACATTTTTGTCTTTCTTTCTTCTTTTGATTTATAAGTTTCTCTTGTGGCATCCTTTCTTTTTATCTATCTTTCTTTCTCGATTTTCATTGTTCCTATCCTAATTTCTTACTTGATTTTCTGTTTAATTTTTGTCAGCGTCAGCACTTCTATTTCTTTCCTGTTTCTATCTTCTATTTTGACTTATTACTTATACTTTTGTATTTTTCAGTTTTTTTTTTATTACTTTCGTATATTAGTACGTTGCATTTTTTTAACTATTTCTTTTTCTCATGTTATTTCTTTTTTTGGAATCAATCTCTTTCTAACGCTTTCATTTTTCCTGTTGTTTACTTCATTCCCATTGAACATTCCTTTTTCTCTAACATATTTAAAATTTCTTCTCATATATTTCCCATTTTCTCCTCGCTTTTTCCCCTTCTTCTATTTCACAATTTCTTTTTCGCTTAGTATATATGTGAGTGCGTCCATGTTTGCCTCTATATATATATATATATATATATATATATATATATATATATATATATGTGTGTGTGTGTGTGTGTGTGTGTGTGTGTGTGCATCTGCCTATATTTCTAAGGTGAGGTAGTATGTACATTATTTACATTATTCGGACTATTGTCCTCAACTTTGTCGCCATATTTATTACACGGCTTCGGCCCTTGTACGCTCCGGCCTTCTTCAGGAGGTGGGAGTGTCGAACTGAACCCTTTATTTCGATCACTGGGGTAGACTGTTCTAGTTCCACGTGCCAACTTGAAGACCGGAGCGTACAACGGCCGAAACGTTGTAATATATATGGCGACAAAGATGAGGACAATAGTCCGAATAATGTAAATATTGTATGTGTGTGTGTGTTGTGTGTGCGTGCATTGATATCTATATATATATATATATATATATATATATATATATATATATATATATATGGAAATCTCTGTGTGTGCGCGTGTGTGTATATGCCGTGTGTGTGCTGGTGTGCGTATATATATATATATATATATATATCTGTGTGTGAGTATTTGTGTGTCAATAGAATAAGAATTTCTATTTGATTTGGGTAAGAATAATATTTAACTTCAGACCTTTATAGCTAATAATTATCCTTAGCCTGTATTGTTTTACTTTTTTTTAAAAAACTTTCCTGGCGGTCGCTTTTCGCAAGAAGTTCATTTGCAAAGATTTGTTAACACCGTTACTAAACAACCAACGGCAATATTTCTTTTCAAGGACCAAACTTGTCATGAAAACACACCATTATTTGTAGATAATTTCCAAACACTTTTTTTTTATCTATGCCTTCATACGAGAAGCCACAAAACCAGTAACAGAAAGAAAATACACTTTCTTATAATTGTTTATTGTTCCATTATATTATGTGGTTTTTTGTTTTGTTTTTTTCAAGGAAAAGTTATTCTTCAGAAAATAGACGTTATTTAAACTGTATGAAAAAATGAGAGACAATCATCTTACAGTCATGGAGATTTTCGTATTTCTTCCTCTTGTTCACAGATTAGGTGTCATCAGTTGATTAAAAAAAAACGGTTGTCTTTGCTATTAATGGGGATTGGTCCCTACAAATGTGTTTCTACAACTCTTTGTAGCAATGGCGGATGTACCATGAAACTAAGGAAACTTAAGCTTCAAGCCCCCTTGTTCCATAGGAGCCTATCTAACAACTTTTCTAACGAGGGAATTTTTCAACGAAATCAATATTATACTATCAGCACGCTAACCCCCAGATCTAAAAGCTGGTTGAGAACATCTGATTCTATTCATAGATTATATTTTGGCGAAATGTAGATCAAATATGGATCAATATTGGACAAATTGTTAAGATAAAAATAAGAAAAGTTTATCAATCCAACATGTTTCACTTTTATTAAAATTTCTTCAGAGATTGAGAAAGAAGTAACAAAAAAGACAGTCATTCTGGTATATTCAGTTTGGTGTAGATTGATTTTCATTGGCCAGTCGGATATATCGGGTATTATAAATGTAGATGTAAGCTTGTAAACATTTTAAATGATATATAGATAAAGGATACTCGAGGATTTTAAGTCATTGTGAGTTCATTTCAAATTTCAGCAGCTAGAATCAATAAGGTTTTTCATGTTCATAAGGATGAAGAAAACTATATACAAACACACACACATATGAATATATTCATAGCAAAAATAAAACGAAACAGAGTAAACATGGAAAAGAAAGTATAAAAGACAGTGTGTGTCACTGTTATGACAGAATATAGCGTGAATTTGAAAGAGAATTAGAAGCCGGAGAAAACACTTGGACAAAGGAATAATGGGAAATAATGTTGGTCAATATACACAACATTTTTCGGGTGTAGAAAATAGTGGTAAAGATCCCTGGAGAAAGAATTGGAAATGAGTGTATATCCAGAAACCACCCGGCGGTAGTAATGGAAATGAAAACGAATAATAACAGACTGAAGCGGTATATTGATAAGAAATGCACAAACCGATAAAATAACTGAAAATGGGGAAAATATGAAATACGAATTTTTCTCTTAATCCCGAGTGTTGTTTCTGACGTGAATATTCAGTGTGAGAACAATAACTACAACAACAACAAAAACAAGAGAAACAAGAGCAATAGTAATAATAATAATAATAATAATAAAACAAACTTACCAGACTCCATCCGAAACATACTAGTAGAAAATACAAACAAAATAACCTCATCCTCATGTAAAAATTGATTAAAAATAATGGAAGCCTTAATAATAAAAACGAAAAAAAGCCAACACTCGATAACATTAATTATGAACACGGCCACAATGTGCTAATTATGTTAAAAAAAACAACAAAAAAAAACACCTCTATAACTAGAGAAACGTCCACACAACCCATATTCTCAGTTGGGAAGAAAAATAAAATCATCCTTGATAATGGCTAAAAGTATAGCTGAAAGTGCTCGGAGTTACAGAACATTTGTACAATTTCTACACACTGTGTCCAGGAAAGAAAACATTTGTCCAACACGAGAAAAATTAAATAAAAGGCTTAACCGCAGTACCTTGCCTGTCGTCTTTAACAAAACATGTATAAATGAAGAATTGCTGCATAAATACACAATATATATATATATATATATATATATATATATATATATATATATATATATATATGGAGGAAGTGTAAAGTTGTTGAAGCATAGGTTGTTAGAATGCAAAATCGGAGAGCTATGTTCGAATTCCAGTCGAGTTCATCACATTCATTTACACGCAAATACCCCTTAGGCACACCAGAAATCCGTCTGTTCTCCAATTCCAAGCTATGGGTTAAATAGTAGAACATATTGTGCTTTTCAGCCTTGAGTGGTATCCGTTTCTCGTACGCCCAGTATGGCCACTGTGACGGAAATACTACAGATCCCATTTCATCATTAGACACCCTAAGATTTTCAATTCTCTTTCATATAATTTTTCTTTCTTATTTCTTAGTATTTCTCAGTAGAATCATATTTTTGATTGTCTATGTCTCTCATTTATCTATAGTTAAATTATCAAGGCTTTATTGTCATACAGGAGAGTATATATAAAACAGCAGTTCACAACTCCAAACGTTGTTTTCTTGTCGTCATAATAATTTGCTGAGTATTTTGGAAGACAGTTTTCCTTATTGACGTCATGATCTTCTGAATTTCTATCTCTCATTTTCCGTGGACACTTCATAACCTGTACTATAAATTTGCTGGAAATACTAATGAAGGCTTTGGTCTTACTTTTAGTCATCAGTTTCTTGTTCTTGGCCATTGCTTAAGTAATAAACAAATCATATTACTTTTTATTAATTGTATATTCAAGGTGGTAATTTTTTAACTACACTAGAAGATAACTGACAAGCATCAGAAATACGTTCCCACTAATCTGATGATTGTAGATTTTTCAGTATTTCCAAATCCCCCGTTAATTAACGGAGCTTCCTGTTTTTTTTCCTTCAAATTATTCGGGAGTGGTTCGAGAATTCGGTTAGGAAATGGTACGACTACTACGACGTATTTATATTGGTCATTACATGGCATTTCAACTTCAGTCATTTTCCTATCGGCCTAATATAACTTCCCTGCAATCTTACTATGAATATTTCTAAGTGCTAAATTGGCAGCTACATCTCAACATCTTACAGTTGAATTGACTAGATGTTACCGTAATTTCTATGCTGACAGTGTCTTCTCTCGCACTTCTCACTTGTGGAACTCACTTCCGGTTTCTTACTTTCCAATCGACTTGGATCTTCAAAAATGTCAATGCAATGTCGAGCGTTACCTTCTTTCAACTTAATTCCTGTTCTTTTATCGTTCTCTCTCCTTAAAATTGTTTTTATTTGTCTCATATTCTTTCAGACTCAGTAACCTTCTTGCGCATTAATGGCTTCATTGCAGTGCCTGGGGTGAAATGTTTTTTTTAAAATTATAACTTCCTCAATTCTCTGGAAGATTAGAGATAATCTTCTCACTTTTCAATTAGTTTTTTTTTTTAAATCTAATTCCTCGGAAAAGGAAAATTTATTATATAGGATAATTACCTTCTTGCTTACTGCAAAATGTCTAGTCTTCTGATTTGGGATGGGAGTTGAAAGTCAACGTCCGAAATAATTTAGCACTTTTCAACCTCTCAGACAGATCTTGTTCTTGCGATGTGCTACGTCTCAATTTTCAAAATGTAATCACTTGGACGGTTCCCAGGGGATATTCTTTCTACTCTTCTCCAACCATTTATTAATTTCTTGACCAGCTTATTGTATTCGCTGATAATACCCTTCTCGAGGTTGGCTTTATTTCTACCCAGGATATATTGAATTTTTTTGTTTTTTGTTTTGTTTTCTTTTAATCCATCTTGGCATTTTTAAACGTGCAGTTGCTTATTTTTATTGTTGTTGCTGTTGTTCTTGTTCTTCTTATTGTTATTATTTCTGTATTTTCCCAAATATGATCTTAAGATATTAGAAATTAACTAGCAGCCTGGCCCGGCGTTGCCGTGCTTGATTCAAAAATCGTACGACTCATACAGCGATCGCTATCACTTGACGTAAAATATTTTTGCCATTCCTTGCCTTTAAAGGAGTGCCCTTTGCAGTGC